CAAGCAGAAAACAGTTGTCAGAAGAGATAATGAGAGAAAAGCATACAGAAGAGAAGCCACTGGAAAAAAGTGCTGGATACTACTCAGCAGTTTAGCCATTTATAATGCCAGACAAGTTTGATGGAAGAAATGTTATATACATCTGCTTTGTAGGACAGATTTTCAAAAAACCACAGCATCCTTCAGAAATTACTAGGGCTAGAATCCAATCTTCTATTTTTTATATCCAAGTGAACGTTAGTTGACTGTCGAGACTTACATACTAGTCCAGTAATTCTGAATGTCCATTGTTCAAGCCCCGTGGTTTTTCAAAAGCAGAAGCAAAAGTATTAACATACACAGATATTAAGAAGCTGATTGAGTGTCCACATAGACATATGCAGACACATATTTATTGTAGCAGTGAAAGTCCATTGCCATGGACAAAGTCATTGGGGAGAAGTTCTTGCAAAGAAGTAAGACTTTATTCTTGATCAAGCTACATCCCAAGCACCAACACTCACAGCCCCCAGAAGTGAGCTACCTTTTCTAACCTGCACATGGAAAAATATTATGGTACATTACAGCTTTAAACTAACGTTCCCTTTAGCTAGCCAGTGGAAGAAATAGTTTTTGAAGAACCATCCAGGAAAATCATATTTGTTCTACATCTCAAAGGAGGAGAAAGTATATCCCTTCTGTCTCTCATTAGTCTAATAATACTCTCCTTGGGACAATCTGTATTCAGCCTGACTCCTTTGCCTGTACTTTACCCCAATTAGTTCAACTCATCTTCAGCGACTGCTAAGATTATAAACGCATATGCAGCTTCAAACCCCTGCCAGATATCTAGGCCAGGAAGGATCATTCAGAATCTCAGTGAGTCCACAATCAAGAAAGATAGGATAATTGTCAAGACTATGCACACAGTATGTGTATACATTAGAGTGTGGGTCATGAGATGTCAGAGCTTTAATTTCATAATTTTGTAAGGATGTAAAGTGAGCATTGGTGGGCTGGGACAATGGTAGAGGATTGTAAAGAAGGTCCCTGGCTGAGAATTTTTTTTTTTTTTAATAGCTTCTCAAATGACATTTCTATCATACTGGCAGGTTTTTCTTCAAATACTGGCAACTAAAATGTGCTATATTTTATTACAAAGAAACTAGAGGATAATAATTTGGGACTTTGTGAAATTTAGGTGCACACTGTAAGAAGTTGTAGCCTTTGTCATAATTTCAGTGAAGTACTTTGACTGTCAGAGTTCTCAATAGACCTGTTCCTCCCTCCTCTGTCAGTGGTGAATTTAAAGTATTGGTAGACACAGAAAGATAGAGCTTAATTCCATTCTCTTCACACTGAAGGCTCTCTTGGGTGCATTTTTTCAGGTAAGGTGGCATCCACTTCAAAAAACAGTCAAAAATCCAGACAAAAAAAAAAATCAAGATGTTGGATGGACCAGCCTGACACATGTAAAAATAATTTCTTGTTCCTGCTTTTGACAGCTGCAGTCTGAATGTCTTAACCTGAATAATGTATACTTTTTCAAGAGAATGTTTTCCAGATTTTATCAGGACCTCAGAAAATTACCATAATGTGGTTCTGCAAAACAAACTCAGGAACTCCTGAACATAGCATCCAAGTGTCCTTCCAAACACATCTCACTTCCTCAACTCTTAAGATGCTCTTGCTTGTAAGGAACATTTACAGCAGCATTCCATAAGCTACAATACCACTTAGCATGGTATTCAATTTATAGATTTTATTAAATAAAGTCCATTTTGGGTTGTGGATATGACAAGATCAGCTTTACCTTCTCAATAAAGAACCTTTATATTTATACACTTAATAGTAAACTAAAACATAGTGTGGGTATGTCGTGGCAGCAAGAGTAAGTACAGTCATTTTTGTTCACCTGGTTTCTTTAGTAACCACAAGGTGAAACCACCACAGCAAAGAATTCTGTGTAAACTGGTCACTGGAGGACCAAAGCACTTACTGGGGGAAGTGGCCTTTAAGGATGTCTACCATTTCAGGAGAGGTGTGCTCAGCTCTCCTGTAATCGGACCTCCCCACAGACTTAAAACATTCTTGATACTGCATTCTCTTTTTTCTCCCTCTCTTCTTTGCGATTAATACAATTTGGTGGGACCTTTCTGCCCCTGACCATGTATACTGCAAGGCCTCCCTGTTTAGCTGGAATTTTAATAAGGCAATGTGGGAACAACTTCATTCCTAGCACTAATTTGACGCTACATATATATATGTAGACATATTTTAAATATATTTTCTGTTATGGCATTATTAACAGCCACAATATATAAAGAAACAAATAAAACTCCTAGAGAAGTACCCAGAATATTCATTTCTAGTGAACTGCCAAAATATGCAAGTGGAGATATGTCAATCAGGTACTAACAGGGAAAAAAAAAAAAAAAAGAAATGTGGGACACCCTCCCTAAATGAGCAGGCTGAAGAACTGGGACATTTCCTGATGTATAATCTGTAAACTGACATCTGGCCTGATGGGCAGGACAGTACTTCTGGTGCTGAGCTAGGGGCTGTGTGACAAGTTACAGAGCATTAATCCTTCAGAAGTGGCAAGTGGCACACATACATGCTGTCTGTCGTTAACAGTTACTCAGGACTGCAGCATATGCACTCCCCACTTGTATGCATGCACTGTTACACTAACTGCTAAAGCTGTCATCTCACCTCCTTTAAGACATCATGTACTATCCCCCTCTGCAGTCTTTCCATGATTTGCAGAGGAAGCTGTTCTGCTGTTTCTTCCAGCAAAAAATTATGCTCATATACTTCATTGCACTCTCTTACACATGCTGTGTTGAGGGAAAGCTGACTGGTTAGCACATCAATACGATATCTAATGGGTTTAAACATTGTTATTGAGGAGTGAAATCAGGTATAGTCCCCAAGCAATAGCTTGAAATAAAAAATCTGTATAGCTATGCCCATATGTAACACTGACACCTAAAAAAAAAAACAAAAACAAAAACCAAAACCCAACAACAAAAAAAAATGCAAAATCCAAACCCTGATATATTTAGCAAACGCTAACACAAAGACAGACAAATACATAAGAGAAGAGAAGAGAACAATGTATACCATGTTTCCCCTGCTTTGGTAGTTTTTGAATGATAACATGCAAACAGACTTTCACAAAGCTTCGAGACTGAAATTTCCCTCATCCTTATTTTCCTCCTTAAAAATAAATCACTGTGTCTGAACACTGGAATTGTGGTCTATTGTGAGATGAGCTGAAATTATGTAGTGGATTCAGTACATACTGGAAAAGCAGAAAGCTCCTGCTATCTTTGTGAGCTAGTTGAAAAGTGAAAACAGATTAGAAAAATAAGTTCTTCAATAGGCAGCAATATTGCTTTCACACCAGATTTGATGAATAAGTCCTCCCAGCGGCACTAACACCTGATACGCACATTGCATGGATTAGCAAGTTTTAGTCCAGGCAGAAGAAAAAACATTTTTTTTTTCACTTCCAGTAACTGCTGCAGGTATATTATCTCATGAAAACACAACAAGATTTCTCTAAGGAATGTGAAATTCGTTTGGTGTTTCCATCAAACAATTATATGTTGTTCACCCACTATCTGAGAAGCACTGAGGCATATCCAGGCCTGATTACATTTATTCTTAGCTCCAGATCAGACTACCCCACCAGGGTGGCAAGCAGTTTCGCATCTCTGCCTTACCAGATCCTTGATACAAGCATACACAAAAGAGGGGTTTCTAATAACAATACAGCCACATTTGCTTAATATCTTGATCATCCTAAATCAGAATGTCCTTGATCATTAATGGAGCCTTTTGGAGTGTTTTGTATTAAAGGATAAATTTTCAAAGACATGTAAGAGGGATTTGCTGACTATCTTCTATTCAGACCAGTGGGAGGTAAACAGCTCAATCCCCATACACTGCTCTGAAATGTACCCTTTCAAATACTGTATTTTCAAAAGGCATCAGGCTTTTCAAAAACTAAGAAGCTTCTAAGAACAACAGTATCATCTCCACTGATGCATCTGTCAGCTAATGCTGCTTCCAGGAAAACATTAGGCCTGCAGAAAACAGAAAAGCTGAAAGACTTTCAAGGGAGAAGAATATGGAATAGTCCTAGGGGTTAGCGTGTACTCTTTGTCACTGCCACATATGCCAGACTGTCTCCCTCTATGTACAGAAGCAGGCATAGTAATGAAAATGAAAAATGGTAAATGAAAAGTGGTCTTGCAGCAAACAGCACTTTTGCATACCCGTATTCACTTTTAGAGATTATTAGCAGGGGGTAAAGTAAAAATGTAAGTTCAGCACAAAAAAGACTCAGAGGAGCATGAAGATAAAAAAGGATTAGGGCCAAACTGTGAGAAAGATGTCAGATCGCACATGATGAACACAATGAAGGTTATCATCCAATGTATTCATTGCAAATGTGGAGAGAAACAGAATCTTTCCCCAACTGTCTGCAAATTTTGTTCCTATGTGCTAAGTAAGTGTACAATGTGGCCCTTAACAGTTTTGAGAAACATGGTAGTTTATTTAAGTGCATAAGGGAAATCAAAATTTCAATTGTTTTTTGGAAATGCCATAAACTACACATTCTTCCCCTCATAATTTTTGTTATTAATAATGTAATATCACAAACTAAATATCAGAAGGTGTAAACAAGTTGTTAGAACAGATTCTTGAGAGCTATTCTTCCCTTTACAGCAAGATTTTTATATTCTGCAAGGAATTTTTACAAGTTATCTCTGAGAGACAGAGAAGGATATATAGAATTCCCTCTCTCATATCCTTTATTAAATACGTATTTCTTATTTAATTAAAAGCTTTTCTAAGATTACTTTCGATTCAAGGTCAAAACAAGTAGCTCAAGATGTTCTAACTCTCTAATTTCAAAAAAAACCCAACCAAACCCAAACAAACAAAAACCCAAAACCAGCCAAACAAAATACAAACCAGAAAGAGTAGGCATCTGAGAAAGTACTTACTACAATGTCTTCAGGAAAAGTATCTAGACTGATAGAGCCGTCATCAAACACGACTTCATAGAAAAGTTGAGATGTCACTCCCATGACTTTGCAACTATAGTATCGTGTATTTCTATGTTTCGAGATGACTGTCTGCCCAACCGTAATGGCCTTTTCACATGTATTACGTCTCTTGAAAAAAGGAAGAATTTAAATGAAAAAGTAATTTAAAATACCATCTTATCAGGAATTTATCAGTGTCAAAACAGAATTGATAACAGTTCACCAATCAATATCAAAACATCAAATGCAAAATAATTCCTTCCAACCATGATCATTTTGCATACAACTTTTTTGCATTTTATGAGAAAATAAATGGCATCTGAAGAATAACAAATCACAGCACACAAAAACACTTTTGCAACTGATGCCTTCTAAATATTCTGCATTAGATCAGTAACACACAATTGACAATGTTTGTAAATTTTAATTGTAGAATAATCTGTAGAATTGTCTTGAAGATGTAAGATGTGATGAACCCAGACTACGGTCTTGCATTGTTTTGAATTATAGGATTTTTAAGAACTGGATTACAGTATGATTCTATATAATTGCTTAATATTTTGCTGAATGGGATGCAATAGCTAGATGCATATCCAGTTCTTGTCAGGGCTATCTACAGCAGTGTATCTGAGTAAATTCTTGATTTATACTGTGCAGAACTTTTGCTTTAAAACTTCAGACAACACTGATCACTCTTCATGAGTTATTTATGTAGCAAATCAGTAACGATAATTCTTTTTCATTTCTCACTTTTAATTCCTCAGAAGCTATTACAAGGGGCAACTACACTGGTATATACTAGGCATAAAATATTTTTTATTAGAAATGATTCTATAAAGAGCATGAAAATATTACATATGCTAAAGTTATTCAGTTTCATAGAACTGCTTTTCAAACCTTCAAAGGAAGTGAATTCTTCAATCGATATAATAATCTTAAAAAGTGTTTGTGAAAATCTGGAAAATGCCACAGCTGTAGAATTTTTAGCACTAATGACAAAGGGAGAACCAAGGACAGCATCAGGTTTTTTTATTAGGTTCCAAGCATTAATAGTAATGTCAGTGCTTCTGGGGAGGAGGAAAATACTACCCTAAACTTGAACACTTCTGTTTTTGTGGAGACTGTAGTCACTATTGTGCTTCCTTCTTGGTCCAATTTCTGGGATTTAGAATTTTTAAACCTCTCTCTTCCTGCAAACTAAAGGGCGAACAAAGTACAAATATTCTGTAACATTTATGGAGACAGTGCACTAAATTTCCATGTGTCAGAGCTCTGCCTGACATAAGCATTTGGAGGATTTAGTTGGGGTCACCTCAGACAGTAAAACCCAATGATCTTTCTAAAGCATTTTCAAGTTTACCTAGAAATAATGTTCACAGCATACTCACAAATTATTTAACCACTTACATGTATAACAAAATTGTTTCTTCTTGATTTTACCTGTCTGTAGTTAGAGTAAGTAGCAGAATTAACTACATAAGTAAAAATTTACTGGTATTATCATATGAGTGATAAAATGTCAAATAGTGCTTTTTATCCAGTCTTGAAACATATGTAAATATAAATGTTAATTTCCCTTTCAATTCTTGACTTTAGTCTATTCAGTTTTATTTGAGGGGTACAGATCAGAAGTAAACTGGAGAGTATTAATTGATTTACTTATATGAGATAATAGAAAAAGTTTGATGTTACAGAAGTCCAAGGAGAAGTATCTCTATTGAAAGGTTTAAATGGTTCTAAAGCCTGAAAATGGAACTCTTCAGAGAAGATGAAAGGCAAAATATAGTATTTTAAGAAACAATACAGCCTCATTTAATGATAAAATTTTCAGAGAATAAATGCCATTGCTTATTAGAACAAATATTAAAAAACAGAAATGCATCCTAGCTCAAGGAGAAGATTATTTTTTTAGTATGTTATCTTGGTTAGATTCTTGATTTTTTTCTCAGAAAAAATATTGACAAGTACACTCTGTAATTGATTGCATGTCCCAGAAAACATTTCCTGTCAGAAAATCTTAAGAATTTATTGATGTTAAGAATGTCATTTTTGATCAGAAAGGACAGTTGTTATGTAAGGGAGGGTATCAGATTAAAGAAACAGCTGTGATAGTTACCAGATTATTGAGAAAGCTGTGGTTTAAAAAGTATGATTTTCTTTAAGAGTACCTAATCCAAAGATGAATTGATAGTGGCAGAAATACAGAAAACAACCAGATACCAAGAAAAAAAAAAGTTAACTTCCCCTTCTGTGTTTAAACTTCAAAAAGAGGGAAGATTACTTTCTCATTCATTATCTGTAAGGCAGGACACAAAAATCTTCTTAAATCAAATATATAAGCTATGTGTATATGAAATCATAATAACTATCATGAAATAGACATCTGATATATATGTAAATATCTAAAAACTTTCTCTGACTATAATTTTTAATGGGGGATCCTCAAAATTCTGAGACTTATTTGATACAGGAAAATAACTCTCATTTCATCATTTTAAGCTTAGTCCTTGGAGCTCCAATTTAGGCATAGAAATGATGCATAACATTTTGAAAATATGCTGGCTCGTGATTTTTGCATATGTCCTTCCTACGGCATGCCTTAGTCTCTCTGAAATGTTAAGGGTCTGGAGTAGTTGGCAGACAGTGGCAAACAATGGCACTGCATTACTCAGGTATTCAACAGAAAAAGGATCTACAGACGCCATTTGACAGAATACCTTCATTCCCTGTGTGCCACAGAGATAAGAGCTGGCCAATTACAGTAGAAGATAATTTGAAATAGTTCAAAAAGCAGCAACAGTAGGTTTTTGCAACTCCTATCTTTGCCCCTTCTAAAGACAATCTTTCAAAACGCATGTAACTGGGGCTGCCAAATGGCCTCTTTTATCAGAGCTTCCAAGTGAAACAGCACCTGTGTATATATGCTTGTCTCCAACAGGCTTTCTCTGACCCTCAGCACTGTCTTTGCTAATCTTGTATGGATCCTTCGGGTTTTTGTTTTTTTTTTTTTCCCTCCTGTTAGTATGGTTGCACACAACGGATTTTTCTCTTTTGTGTATGAAACAGTATTTTTAACCAAAAAAAATCCATCTGCAGCACCTATTCTCAACACTACTTCCAAGTGTTCTTGCAGTTTGATGACAAAAATGTGTTTCATGCCCAGAGACAAGCACAGTCAAAGATGAAAAATGAAAAAAAGCATGACCTACTGTCTGTAAGTAGTAAATTTCAGAGCCTTCCTTGCATACTGAGACTCCAATTTACATAATGAAATAATATAGGCTGCAACAGGAATAATCAAAAACATTCTGTATGAAACAACTTTTCTGCTAGCAAATTTTTGTGTTTTTTCTAAAACTGTACCTTCAGTAAATACAAGAAGCATGCTTAGTTTTGAGTTCATGAACCTCCAAAGACCATATTTTTGAAAATTCATATTAAAACTTAAAAACTCTAGTTCTTAGTATTTGAATATCTACTTCACTTGTCAGCATTATATGGGTGAAAGGATTACGCTTTCCCTTTTGATTGTATTTTTAATGATTTTTCATCAAAGACCCACCTGTGTTTTCCATGGTTGACATTAAAATAGTATCCTGGGAAAAAATCCTAAAGACAATACAGAATCTGATCCCAAGTGAAAAAGACTTGTAAAAGTATATTGATGAATAATTTGGACAGAATTTGCTTGATATCACAGCCATAAATAATTTGCATCTTGTCATTGCAATACGCCCTTGCCTGAGGTGAAGAGATACACTAACACTAGTAGTAATACACATTTATCTGTACATAGGTAGGTTTTTTGTTGAGCAACCTCATTGATTTACATATTACAATATCACTATAGATATATGTCACAATTTTTCCTAGTAATTTAACCCAGTAATTTTCAACTAATGATAATGCTTTCCAAGAAAGCCAAGTAAAATATCTTCAGTTGCCTTTACAGATAGAGATTTAACTTTATTTTTCAAACCAAACTCTTCTTGAAAAATGTTTGAAGAAACTAAAATCACATGAAATGTACTGGTTTCACATGTTAATTCATTTTGGAAAACAAAAAACTGTAAAAGGATTAACAGTTTGTGGAGGTTTTAAACAAGGACATACAATTTGCTTTGATTTTTAAGAACCACCAGAAGATTGGACACTCAGGACTGATTACTTTGGTTGGGAGGCATTACATTTTACTCCACTTCAAAGAAAAACTTACTCTTCAGTAGTCTTGTCATTAAGATTAAGGATTCACTGACAACCTCTTGAATGAATGACATACGTTATACAGACATTACCTAGGTTAATTTTTTTCACCTCTAATGTATAAAGGAGATAAAAAGTTTGCAACTTTTGAATTCTTGACTAACTTACCAAGCTATTTCCTTAATAAGACTACATTAAGTCCTTCTAGTTTTCTAGAAAACAACATACAGTTTTAAAAGCCCAGGATAAATGGCAAGAGTTTTCTTAACTGAGCTAGTAACAATTCATTCGAATAAAAGACATTAAACTAATTCTTCATGTGTCTCATCTAAAATTAAGGGTTCCTCCTCAGCACAGGCTAGAAATAAAAAGGCACACTAATGACATGAATTTTCACAATTTGACAGTGTTACTTTGCCAGATGACAGAATAATGATAATTGGGTATTTGCAAGACACTGCTTGGCTGTGGAACAAAGAACTTATATATACCCCATATTCTTGATCTCACAGTATCTGTGAGTATTTGCAAGGTATGGTGATCAGGGTATTTTTAATACACTCTAGGTTAACAAAACAGAGAACTCAAAGATTTGTTCTGGCTGTGAAAACAATACAATCAACAATCACTCTAATGCAAAAATGTGTTAGGCATATGAAGTATCATTTCTCCTAGGTAATAGTATAGGGAAAAACTTCAAGATGTAATAGTTTGTTATGTATGGAATATGACAGATGGAGCTATTATAATACACAGTGTGGATGCTTTCTTCCATTTTCTCTGAAATCATACTTTAATTCTGAAATTCCATTTTTTAACAAATAAGGAAACAATTTCCTTACCACATTTTGGTTGATCTTGTGCCTGAAACATGTGACATAGAGAACATATGGCCACTCAACAGGTTCTATCAGCACTCCTGCAGCATGGGCACAGGTAACATGGAAGGAGGCTAGGCAGCGTCCATATGAACACTGAATGCAGGCACCGAAGTTACTCTTAATTCTCTCTCTGCAGAAGATACATTTCTGTAGAAGCAAAATAAACAGAATATTTACCATACTACCCCAACTCCATTGACTTCTGAAAATAACTCAAGGACTGAAAAGTCATTTATGCTTCATTGATTGCAATATGCAAGGCAAAAGAACCAGCATTTATGAATTACAAGGTAATGTAGTAATATGATGAATAATAGCATTTTTTGCATTTTTATGCTAATGTGAAGATGATATGATATGGTGCTATCGTAAGAAAACTCATATATAGACAGCTATTCAAAAGTTTAATTCTGTTTTCCATCCACTTCTCTGAAAATTAGCCTGCTCCTCCTAAAACGTGTAAATAAAAAACCCTATACATAATTCTGCAAAAAGTAACAACAAGACTCAAAAGCAAAGAGAATATGCCCACTGAAATGTATGGCTAGACAGGACTTACACACATCATTTAACCTAGCCCCCTGCTTTGAAGGTGGACTAAATACATACTTGGTTTTTGGGAGATGGCTAATCTAACATGTTCACGAAGTGGTTTCTACAACATCCTCAGATAACCTGTTACAGCGTATAAATCTCCTCAAAGCTAGAAATGTTTTCTTTATCTTAAGCCTCTGCATAATTCCACAGCTGAAGGCTGTTCCTAAGTCTCTTTTAACTTTTCCTAGTCTGGTTTTCATTGGTTGTATATTTAATATAACAGTGATTGAATAGGCTGTATTTCTCCATATATTAAAATATCATGTCAATAGCCTTACCAATATCAAGACATAACACTTTTTTTTTCTTTTGCCAAAATGGACACCACATCAAAATATTATCACTATTTTGTAAGTGACATGAGTAAGTGGCCTATATGAAACAAATGAAGGGACATGAGCTAGGTTATCTAAGTCTGGGAAATAAGCTCCACCATACTAAAAAAGACAAAGTACAAGAAGACTGGTATCTTGCCATCAAAAGACATTAACAAACACACTCAATAGAGTAATTACTTTAGTAATTTCTATGGACAACTATGTTATATCACACATGGGAACTATCCTCTGATAGCTCTTGACATGGCTAACAAAAATGTAAATGCTATTGATGATCATAAAATTATCTCAGCTATTCTAAAATACAGACATCTTATTTGATGACACAAAATAGTGAATTCAATAATTTGAAAGCATACTACTGGAATAGTGATTACTTCCATTTATTTTAAATTTGCTAGTCACTGACTGTGTTAAACAACCTCTTGTCTGCCTAAGCTGGGAACATGAGAAAGAATAATTTTGATTTATTTCCACTCTATGATTAATAATTCAAAGTATTTCAAATTAACTCACATCAAATTCTTCTTCTCAGGTTACCAGAGAATTTTGTTCTATTGTTTATTAATTTCTATATTCTGAAGAAAATCTGCAGACATTTCATTGTATAATTTAGCACGTACATAATTTCAATGGTTTCTGGTACTCCGTGACGGAAATAGTGCTTTTTGCAAGTGCTAGCCCTGTCAAGCTCATTGGTCACGCAGAGCTTTAGTTCACGCATCATTCCGCATATGAAAAACTCTTCAAGTTCTGCCTTCATATCCACCCTGTATCCAACAGCCTGCATGGCTTTGCACAAGCAGAAACAAGAGTAGCATCTGGCATTTCAAGCTCAGTTAAAAATTTTACCCATCCCTCACTAAAAGGACAAGGTCTCAGCTTGGTCTGCTGCAGCATCAGATCTGAAAGACTAGTAAGAAGTAAAGATGATTTCACCATCAAAATAGATGTTCCAGAGCCTTCAGTGATATGCTGATATCCCATTCTGCATTTGTATTCATGTGCATGAAGCCATTTCAGGTAAGTCAACTGTTTCTTGAGGGAGCTTAAGGATCTTTTTGTATATACATATTCAGAACCAAGTAAAATGGGAATTCCAGAAAGAAAATACAATTGAAATCTATTATGTATAATGTCTAGACACTGAGTTCATGCCAATACAGAGCTCCTTTGGAACATTTTTTCCCACAGATATACACACAAGTTCACCAGTCAGCTTAGTGAAAGACTGAAGTACAAAACATGTTTCTGTATATAAAAAACAAAACAAAACAAAACAAAAACAAAACCACAAGCAGCCGTGTCTTCTAAAACATTCCAAAAATGCAGTTCAAACAAAATGAAGAGAATGAGGAAAAGGGATAAAAAAGTAAAGTGCAGCTAAACTAGCAGTAACTGAAGGAACTATGTTACAGCAGGAAATGCTGATCCCCTTGAATTATTGGCTGCAGTTGTGTAAGGCAGCAAATATGCAAACATTACAATGTGACTGTAAGTTTCTTTGGCATCTTACTAAGATATGATGAAAACTTGGGAGATGCAGAAATCTAAAACATTACATTACATGAGTAATGCTTCAGAAAAATATTCAATTTACAACTATATATATGTACAATTGTTCTATTTTAAGGCTTATCACCTTTCAGAAGTGGAAAAGCTGAGAAAAATAAAAGCAGTATGAGGACTGTCAGAGATGCTTCAAGGGAAGCTGAAAGTGCAGTCAGGAAAACTGAAAATGTAACACATTAAACGGGATAGCCAAATCCACAGAAATTAGAGCACAAATTCATCCGTCCCTGTAAATGAGACTGACTTCTCTGTTCTATTCCAGTATAGGTTAACTTAATATTAACATATTAGACAAACTAACATTTTGTAAGAAAAGTTATTTCTCATAGGTATTTTTCAGAGTTGCAACTTGAAAGTACTGAAAAAAGTAATTTTAAAAAATGCTGTCAAATTAATGTTGACTAAATTCTTATTTTTGTCATGCTGGCATAAAACTACACTAATACTTATGAAAAGTGAAATTACTTCAAATTTGTTCATATAAAAGGATACTGCTTGGCTCTATATAATTATGTGAATTCAGACTTCAAGTCAAATGAAGAAAGTGAAAATACTTCCTGTGTTTTAACCATGAATTGAATCCATCTCACTGCCAAATACAAGGAAGGTAGTTGTTACATCAGCTAACTCCAAACACACATTAATCTTTTGTGCTCCACTCTTACACTCTTCAGGTATAAAAAATATTAAATTGTGAATATGAACATGGAGAAAAAAAGTTACTGTACATGCAGGGGAAAAATAATCCTATTTCTCCCTGTGTTTACAGAATACCAGAAAAAAATCTGAAAATCAGTCTGTTTCAGGAAGCATGAAAAGAGTCAAGGATGACAGATATTGAAATATGTTTCCTATTATTTGTAAGATGCTGAGTCCTTTGAGTATGACACTGAAAGGGATGATGCAGATCTCCTCAGCTTTACAATGAGTCACAAACTTGGGCATGAATTTTCAAAGGTACACATATGCACAAATAAAGGTCAGGTGTACAAGCAAATTCACAGCTTTCATAACTGTATTGGGCAGCATGGCCCCACTAAGAGATATGAGAAGTTCCTTCATATTTGAAAATATAAATCAAACAGTTAATCTATCATATTTGATTAATAAAATCAGAATACACAGAATAAAAGCAGAGCAAACTATAAAAATCTGCTTTGAATAGACTTTCGGAATATTAGCTGAGCTACATACCAAGCTGTATGTTAGCTTCAAGTAGTAAATTGAACTCTGCTGTGTCTGACCATACTGCCAATTCTTTCCCTCCCTAGCTTCTAACTCATAATGTGTCTCCCATACTCTCACTTGGGGCTTTACAGCATACGAACTTTAATTTCTTCACCTTTTTTTTTTCCTATTAAATTATTTTTTATAGTATAGTGATACTTAAAAAGAAAAGAAAAAAAAAAAAAGATAATATAAATGTAAAAAGAACAAAAAAATAAATCACTGAAAGTGACCAAGGAAAAAAGACATCCAAAATTATGAGAGAAGAGAGGGAATCATCAGCTATGAAGACTGAGGTCTCACTCTCCCTCCCACCCTTGCCTGAAGTCTCACTTTTGTAACCTTGTAAAATAAAGGAATTGTATAGAATGGAACCAATCTTGAACCAGTCCTGCAGAGGATAGAATCTAAATACCTCTCTGCCTGGGCAAATCTTGTTTTTAGGTATTTAAGCTTGCTACTTGTGAAATTAACAAGCTTGACAAACTATGAACACATTAATTCCAATACAGTCATGTTAATTCAATGCACAACTGATAGTTTTTCAGTAGCCTGAAACTACAGCTGTTCCTGCCAGCCGAAGTAAACTCACCATCTCAGATAGCTAGGAAGAATGTAATTTTGACTTAATGCTTGTTAGATATTAGTGCAAAGCAGAGACAATAGGGGAAGTAGCTGAGTATCAATCCTAATCAGAAATTCAGATGCAAAATGAATTGGAGAAAAAATAAAATTGTTTATATAACTGGAGATTCAGAATATAGGACAAAACAACATACTGCAATTTTCTAGATGGTGAAATGACTTCTTTTTGCCCCCAAAATGAAAAATATTCTGCTGCAAATGTATTTCATAATCATGGAATAGCTCTTTAATATTAATAGGTTGCAAATATATAAACAGAATTAATTTTAAAGAACAAGTCTGAAAAAGCTGGATGACAGTACTTGGCAGAAGAAAACGCACTGATAGGTTTCAAAATAATTTTTATGGATCCTTATATAAAGGCTTTGTTATTACTTCCATCAAAAAGAGTAATATCTACAAAACAAAATTCCAGTCCCTGACAAGATTATGAAATAAACACAGTAACACTGCTTTCTGATGCAAGGATTTATGAAAATAAGCACAAGGTGAAGTTGTGGCAGAAAGCCGTGGCTGAATTCTAGGAAACAATTTGGTTTATTGATTTCTCCAAAAAGTATTTTTATGCCTTGGCAAGAAGAATGACTCATGTGAAGAAGCTGACCATAGTAAAGCTTTAAATTCTACAAAAATATGGTATTTCAAGAGAGACTCTAGAAATTATTACATTTCCAAGTATTACTAAAAATCAAGAAGTAAGATCTCTTCTACTCCTGCAGATGGTTATTAATTGTTAGTCAGTAACTGAATTGTATATATTGTATATTC